CACCACTGGCGGCACCGCCGGGAGTTCCTGCTTCGCAACGTGGGGGAGCCGCCGGCGGCGGGCAGCCCCCAGCTCCAGCGCCTGGTGTCTCTCTCCATGGTGTGGGCCAACCACGTCTTCCTGGGCTGCCGGTGAGTGCGGGCCGGGGTGGCGGGCCTGCCGCGGGGGGTGGGAGTTGCGACGCGGACGCCTAACGGTGCCCCTTCCCTCTTCTCCCCTTGTCGCCCCTCCAGGTACCCGCCGCAGGTCATGGAGAAGGCGCTGGAAATGGCCGAAGGCATCCAAGTGACCGGCGCGCCTGTCCGCACCACGAGAGATGAACTGGTTGCCAAGGTGAAGAAAAGAGGCATATCAAGTAGCAATGGTTAGCAGATCATAGCTGTGACAATACATAGGAGTCTAGAAAATGCTTGCTTTTGAATATTCTCGGTTTACCTCGGGCTTAGAAAGTAGTCTAATTTACTTTTTGAACTTCTTGTTAATCCTTTCCCTTCTCTGTGCTATTTTTTTTCTCATATAATACCTGTAAAATAGATGTAATGCAGACGTATTCTGTTGGTAATGTGGAGCTCTTGTTTTGATGACAGCAATGCTTTTGAATTCTTATAGGTGGTGTGCTTTAAGCTGATTATTTTTAATGTGTTGTAGACTGTTGTACTCCAGCCTAAATGTATTCTTACTTCACCTTTAGCGCTAGTTGGACACTATTGCTGTGTGAGAAACTTGGTTTCTTAAAGAAATTCTTAAAGTGGTATTTTTAAATATGTTTTTATCATAATAGTAAACAAAATACACTCTTTTTTTTAGGTCTGATAGTCTGTTTAATGTCCTTTGGTCACTTTTGGTTTGGACTTACAGAGTAGAAACACATACTTGCTTATAGGTCACAAACCAAAACCTGAAATTATACACCTGAGTATTTTCAGTTTTATGTCCAAAAAATACTAAAATGTTCTGAAATAGTAGGTTAATACTTGAAATTACAGTTCAAGGTATATTCTTAATATATACCTTTTAAATACACAGAGATTATTCCTAGATGTTTTTAGAAAATAGGTAGATTGCCTCTAGATGGATATTTCATAGTGCAGAAATTAAAGAGGATAACATACTTCACTTGTTTTGCAGAAGGGGTAGAGGAGCCCTCCAAGAAGCGAGCTGTTGAGAAAAGCAAAGATTCTAAGGATACTGGCAAGGATGTGAAGAAAACCAAGGTAGAAGCCCCAAAGGAAGCAGAGAGCACATTGCCAAAAAAGCAGGAAAAAGATGCTAGCAAAGATCCAGAAAGCTCCCAGAAAGCTTGCAGTTCAAATCAAGAAATGGTCTCAGCATCAGACATAGAAACAGAAGGAAAACCTGCTAATGTGGAAAATACTGCAGGGCAAAATTCATCTTCATCTGGAAAAGAGTCAGGAGAGAAGCCTTGCTCAAATCCACCTAAGGAAGGGAAGTGTGAAAATGTGCCATCACCTGAAAAGAAAATGACAGTAAGTGCAGTGCCACCAGCTGCCAAGAGCACCCCACAGGCAGAGGTGGCAACACCTGTGATGGCTGCCCAGAGCACCCCGCAGGCAGCAGTGGTGGCAACCACAGTGCCACCAGCTGCCAAGAGCGCCCTGCAGGCAGCAGCGGTGCCACCAGCTGCCAAGAGCACCCCAGAGGCAGTGGCAGTGGTCCCACCTGCCACCAGGAGCACCCTGCAGGCAGCAGCGATGCCACCAACCACCAGGAGCACCCCACAGGCAGCGGTGGTGGCAGCAGCAGTCCCACCGACCACCAAGAGCACCCCACAGGCAGCAGCGGTGCCACCAACCACCAGGAGCACCCCACAAATAAGTGCTGCATTGCTGTCTTCCAAAAACCAAACGAGTGTTCCAGCATCAGTGTCCAAGAGCAGCACTCAGCCGGGCACCTCACTGCTGCTGGCCCCCAAGAGCAGCACTCAGCCAGGCACTTCGCTGCTGCTGGCCCCCAAGAGCGGTACTCAGGCTGGTACCTCACTGCTGCTGGCCTCCAAAGGTGCTGTTAAGGCAGGCTCCTCGCTCCTGGCCTCCAAGAGCAGCGCCGAGGTGGCTGCCTCGCTGCTGGCTGCTCGGAGTGGTGCTCAGCAGGGATCCTCACTGCTGACTTCCAAGAGCAGCGCTCAGGTGGCTGCTACGCTGCTGGCCGCTCGGAGCGGCACTCAGCAAGGTCCCTCGTCACTGGCTTCCCGGAGTGGAGCTCAGGCAGGTGCTTCCCTGCTGGCCTCCAAGGGCGGCACACAGGCAGGTTCACCACAGCTTCCCTCCAAGAGTGGCTCGCAGGCGGGAGAAAGCCCTGCAAAGGCATTGTGGAAACCGTTAACCAGCGAAGATGCAAAGGAAAGACAACCTTTTTTCAACAGGCTGTACAAAGCGGTGGCCTGGAAACTGGTCGCTGTTGGGGGCTTCAGTCCTAACGTAAATCACGCAGAACTTCTAAACTCATCTATTCAGTCTGTAAAAGCTACGTTAGATGTTGCTTTTGTTCCCCTGAAGGAACTTGCAGACTTGCCTCAAAATAAGAGCTCTTTAGAAAATATAGTTTGTGAACTTAGGTGCAAGTCTGTCTACTTGGGTACTGGCTGTGGTAAAAGTATGGAAAATGCCAAAGCAGTTGCTTCAAGAGAAGCTTTGAAGTTATTCCTCAAGAAGAAAGTTATTGTGAAGATATGTAAAAGAAAATACAAAGGTAGTGAAATTGAAGATTTGGTGCTTCTGGATGAAGAATCAAAACCTTCGAATTTACCTCCAGCTTTAAGAAATCCTCGTGAGATCTTGTAGGGGAGAATCGCTGTTGTACCGTGTATACCATTTCAACACAAGGACTCAAGGTTAATTTTGTACTTTAAAAACGTAGGCTTCCAGATATTTTGTATTTCTTTCTCAGTTTTGCAAGACAATGATAGTCCTTTCACTTGGTAGCAATTGTATAAAACTTGTTAGAGATGACAAGTGTGCATTGAAGGTATGCCTTAATATATAGCACATTAGTGTGCTGTTTTATTTGCAAAATAGTCTACCTAATTCTTCTATTTTTCATTAAACAATTAAGGTACAATTTGCTGTTTAAAACCTGACAATTTTGTAATTCTTACGAGTTGATGGCAATGTGCTCAATTGTCCACCATGTCTTTTTTAGCCACATAGGAATATGTATGTAGGGACCATAATACTTGAATGATTGAAAGTTGTTTAAAGATTTCAATCAAAAAGTTGAATCATCTGTTTCAGGTGTGTTGCTCATAATGTTCACTGTTGCTCGTACTAGGAGAGAAGATAGTTGGTTGACTGTTTTTATGGGTGTTTTCATAACACTTGCAATATAAATGACACCCTGACCCCATTTAACATTACTAGCAGGCTAGATCCCTTTTAGCATTACACTGGCAAATTAGCAATTAGCAGTCAAGTCAGAGCCACTTTAGCCACCTAAACTCTGTAAGCAGATTTAATTTATACTGTGAAATATCATTTAGAGGTTTTTTTCAAATAAACATGGATTTCTATACTAAGCATATTTTGACTGCTACTAAAACAGTAAAACCTCTGGGATATGCTTTTATAGTACTTTGGTTTTGGCTATTAAATATTCCAGCCATTTCAGTAACTTTGCAACAACACCACCTTAAGAAAAGCTTTACTTTGAGTGGCTTCAAGGTGTAATCCCACAAGGACAAGTTGTTTTCTTTGGATGCATAGCTGAAATACTGTAAAAGCACTAGAGTGGACCTATAGAATACCCGTTTCTACTTTTGTAACACTTAGCAAGATGTTGCTGTCTGCTAGAGACAGTGCCTGTGTTGTAAAGCGTTCACACTAACCGAGCCTGCCCTTTGCTACCTTTTATGCCATGAACAGAATGGTTTGAGGCAAAGAAAGCGGGAGATGACCTTTTATTTTCAATGTTACTGAAGTACCTGCACAAACTGCATGTTTTGATATATTGGATAATGACATGTAATTGTAAAAACAATGTCTTCAGTGCTATTTTCAACTAATCTTGTCCGATTACAGTAGTTAACATCATTTAATGGAAACCTGACTGACAGATCCATCGATCGAGTACTACAGGAGTGAACAGGAATTCCTGGGATCTCGGTAGTATATATGTCCACTTAAAGACCTCGAGTTCTTTTGTGATTTTGGGACTAGACCACCGTGGTGTTGCTGCACTGCACCCTATGTGATTTTGAACAGCAGTGGCTGTCCAGTCTGTAGCACCTGAAGCCTGCAAGGCGCTTGTGCTCCCCGATGGCTGGTTGAGAACTTCCTCCATCTGAACCCAGTGCTTTGGTGCCCTCAGCCGCCTTTCGCTCTCGTTAGGTTTCTCAAGAGTCCCCCTCGGTGTCCTGGAGTACCAGTCGGCGTTCGGACTGCAATGTGTTAAATTGCGTCTCGCACAGCGTAAGAACTGGTGTGTGCTTCTAGCGCAGAGCGAGTCAGTGCTGCATTTAGGAGCTGTGCTGTTCACACCAGGAAGCGCGAGATCTCAGATCCTCACCCTGTCCAGGTGGTGGCACAGAACGACTGCTTTTGTGGGGCAGGAGTTGCATCCTACGCCCTCTGAAGCTTTCCTAGCTGTTAGTTTGAGCGTCACCAGATCTCTGGCTGAGAATTGCAGCGGGTGTTGCAATGTGAATTCCTGTGTTTCCTGTCTGTAAAAGCGAAGTTCACAGTATTTACTGACCTCAGGGGGGCGTTAGGGTAACCGTGTAAAAAGGCTGAGGTGCTAGATGCCTTTTTTTTAAGTCCTAACATAGGCTTACTTTTTTAAAAATTTTTGAATGTTATTCCTCTTTGATGTTTGGTTGTGATTCATTAAAGGACGAGTCTAGCTACTCTTAATAGAAACTGAAAGTTGGTGTGTGTTATTTTCATTTCACATTCTGTATGGAAAGCAGCTCAACGAGCAACTGGTATGATTCTGACATAGCAGTAAATAAAGTGTTTGAATCAGAATTTATTATCTATTCATTAGCTTAGAGGAAGAAAGAAAGAATTTCAAAGAACTGGCTATGGCAAGAAGCGTTGGTGTAGTCCTGCCAGTCTGAG